GCAACCGTGGACCACTGAACTCAGGCTCAGTGACTAAATAGCTAATGCGTTCGTCGCATGACATGAAGGTACTGCAAGGGTCTTGAGTGCATACTGTTTTGAAGATCCATACCAGGATAAAGCAGATGTCCAGTGCTGTCAGGTTTTCCATACTTCTATAGTAGATGACAGTCCATGATGAATACTAGCTACAAATAAATAAAATCCATATAAATCTCAGACTACAGTATTTCTTTCTATCACGCGTTATGCATCAATCCACATTACAACCATTCGGAAAACAATACAAATTTTCATTATTTGAAATTCGCTACAGTTTATTATAAGCAATGACAATAACTGCCCCTACTGACACAAAGAGATACTAGAATTAATCTTTCAGTTAAGTACATTTATTCTTACCCTTTTTATTGAGATTAGGTAATTATTTGTTGAATAGTTAGTAGCAAGTTTCAAATATTACTGTCTTAAGAGATGTATTCTTGGATGGAAGTTTATACTGAGTTAAGTTTGCTGATAGAACTTGCAGTGTGGCATTTATTGTCATTTTTAGAAAGACAACAAAGTAGAGAAAACACCTTACATTTCACATGAAAAAAATATATATTCTCTTTCTAATTACATTGAACTCAGTTGAGTAACAGGCAAAATGACATAATAATAACCTTGAGCAGTTGAACATCCTAGCTTTGTTTGACTATAATCTGAGTATGACAGGTTTACTAAAAATCTTCATCTTAAAGAATAATTAACAACCTATTTGCTGCCTCGAGTATATTCTTCAAAAGATTTCTGGCGATTTATTCAATAGTAGCATATTAATTGAGTATCACTGTTTGCTATTCAGTCGTCCAGATTTTCTACTAAAAATATATGAGTTTTATAAAAGTAATTCAGTTGTTAATTTTGTTTAAATGTTTATTCATCATTTCATAATGTGTCCTTTGGAAGTAAATCTGTTGCGTGGACACTGTCCAACCGATTGATGCATATAAACCTTAGAACACTTTTCGCCAGCATTATATTTCTGTGTTATTTGATGGCTTACCTATATCTGAAATCAGGCATAACCTTTACTAACTATTATCCTTATTTGTCTACAAGTTCTTTCAATGATAGGCTACCATTTGTAGATGCTAACAGAGGGATATGAATAGGATATTATATGACCTACAAGAACAATACCCAGCGAGAAACAAGACAGCATCTTAAAATATATCTTGCCTATATTTACCATAAATAGCATAATGTCACTAATATCTATTCTCCATTTCTGTCAGAAAAAATTTCGGTGTCTAGCAAAACCTGATTATGTCTTTCTTAGTGTTCTATAAATTATTTACTAAAAAACCGATATTACACTATTAAGTTGCCTTTTACAGACCAATGGTTAGAAGATTTTCGATCACAACAATAAGAAATAAAAAGTGTCACTCAAGAGTAATGTACTGTTTTATTGTACTGTATCATCTTACTTATTTGACTAGAAGTTTGCGGAAAGTAAGTTGCTCCATTATTATTTCGCTTATATGTTCGGTGACAACAGCATTCTACTCTACTAGGCACTTCAAAATACGTCTGATAAAAAAATTCTTTAACTTGAACATTTGTAAAGTATTCCTTTTCTGCAGATGGTTTACTAGTTGCTTGTTGGTTGGAGGCAATAAACAGGAAGCACCATTTGAACTAGCTTTCACGCTTGTTAGTACTTGTCAGCAAGACGTATCTGTAACCTTGAGAGGAATGATGTCCCCTCTGAGATTCGAGCCCATGTCAACCAGTGTTGCAGTCAACGACATTACTTCTGAGCTATTAAGATTGTAAATGACCTGCTACAGGAATGGATTAAATACAGTGATTGGTCAATGGAAGGTAACCAATTTCATGTTGTTTTGTCCTTGGCATAGACTCCCTTTGACCATCTAACATCAATCCAAATGGGCCGCGACTGGATGACTCCTAGCTTGGTGGCTACATTGTAAAATGATCGACAGAATTCGGTTAGCACTCAGAAATATACAATATGAAATCCGTGCACTGGTTATTAAGCAATACACAGAAAACTATTACTGGTGCAAGACAAGAGAGGAAATCGTAGCGATATAATGATGGAGTGTTCAAATTTAGGGAAGTTCTAGGTAAAAAACTAGAAATTAATGCGCTTATTACCTGGAGTATCCTCCTCAACTTTTGACATAATTGTATTTCTTTCCTTCCTCTTTATTGTGGATAAATTGGTGAGAGATAGTGTCTACTTTCACACTGGAAGTATTATCTAATGTCAGGCTGTTCGGAAGATTAGTTTCAAACGTAATAAATTTTCAAAAGCGACAAACTGACTCTGCTGTTCTATCAAAATATCATTTGTATTGACATTATTAATCATTTTAATTTAAAGAGGGAAAATTTAAGTTTTTTTAAAGTACGTTGAAGTTCTTTGCATTCAAATCACTTGTAACTAGATTAAAATTTGTCTGTTTCTATTTCCTTGTAAATTTCACTTTGCCTCCAAGAAAGATTGATCTAACAAAATAAATATGTATGTTAATCAGAAACGTATTGGTGGACAACAACATTTTCTACTACTTATAACTGTATTATGGAGTTAAGCAGTTAGATATTGTTTTACAAAGCATCTTATAACTACTTCTGAACATCAGTTGGAGGGACATTAGAAACCTGAGAGCACTGTACAGCTGTTTCGTCTTAGTATGGGACTCCTCATCAGGGTACACCCACGACCCCGCCACACCGGGTACCGAACCTAAAACCCTCAGATTCAATGGCCACAACGTTAGTGCCCACCGGCGACTAGCTTCAGGAGGTGACTCCTGAAGTTCCAATGGGAAGCCGTGACCCGTAGGGCAAGCCTGGTGGCCGTAAGGACAGATACTGAACGATTTCATCGGATGGTGGCCGCGCTATGTCGCGAACTGACAGAATTTGGGAATATGGACCATCGGATTCCAACCCAGTAGCTCAGTGGTTACGTGCCGACTATGGAACGTGAAGGTCCTGGGACTGATCCGTGGTGTGGTTGGGTTGTGTGCGCGCACTGCTGAGGAGTCCCGTACTGAGACAAAGCAGCCGTCCAGTGCTCCCAGATTTCCAATATTCCTCTAACTGATGTCAGTACATGGTGAATACATACTTGAAAAACCACTAACTCCTCACAAACCTCCGAATTAAATATTTCTGAACTGCTATACTACCCGGGGTCCCATCGGATATTAAAATATTTTTAATACATAATGAAAATGGTAATTAACATCAGGTGACTTATATACAATTATTCGATTCCCCAATAATTATTACGGTAATTAAAGCTCTGAAAGAGCTAATTACGATATAAAAAATTTTCTATATTACTGCTAGTTATAACTTGTAGCCCTGAAATGAACCAGTTAACTACACAATGGTAACTATTAATAAATTTTAGCTCTAGAGCGGAGACTGTTTTAAAAACTAAACAGCAATGCTTGTGTAAGCAGTTTGTAATAAAGTATGCGATGGTATCAATGGCTGTAAATTAATCTCAGTAACAACAGTATTCCAGTAAGCCTCAACTAGGTACTTGGGATTACTGCACAAGAGACCAAAGTTGCCATACTCCATCATATTAGCACTTTGAGGTAGAAAACGCATAGATGAAAGGCAGAGAAAAAAGAAGCAAGTAGTCTAGGCTGGTAGATAAGTGCAAAAAGAGAACTGAGAGGGACGGAACACTAATGAAATTTATGATGAATTGTATGACGAAAATATGTAGATACATCTGTGACAGTGTGATGAATTCCTAATGTTATCAACTCCAATCTTCAACCACTCACTGATTTCGATGGGATAATCAGATTGAAATGCTTTTTAAGATGATTTGGATCCACGTCAAAGTGCTTGGTTGCTAAAAACAACTTTACTTTTCTTTGCAATTACATGAGAAAAATTAGCCGGTAACAGCTAGTCAGCTAGTCAGCTAGTCAGTAACAGCTATTTTTGCAGAAAAAGCCCAGATATTAACGTCAAGATTGAAGACAGTGAATATTTAGAGCCAAAACAACAAGTAATTAATAATACTTGAGCAACAATGTCGCCTTTACCGTAATCTAACACTGATTTAACAAATGTGTCCATAGAAATTAGTGTGAGGTTTTTGAAGTTCAATTTTACTTGCAATAAATAAACCTGATGAGGGAGAAATTTAACAAACATAAGATTCGTCTTGACTTCATCTTTGCTATATTACAATTCTGAGTAAATTTCTTTTCCAAACGTGGTGGAATTACTTAGTGAAAAATTCGGTCACTGGATTGCTATTGAAGTGATAGAATTAATCATAGCTACTAAGATATGTTTTCCCCATCATACAGTGTCAAACATGATTCCGAATATCCTAGTGACAAATATCTAAGCATCCAAGCATTCACGCAAAAGTTCAAACCAATTAGTGTTCATGAAGCTTCTGGATTTCGCATTACGGTTCTGCCGTAAAATTACCAAATATGTATAAAGCGTGCTGTTACCAACTTTCTATCAACTAACTCCAGTTTCAATATATTCTCAGAGCAGCACTTCTAGTAATAATAAATAATTTGACGGCACACAGTCAAGCCACTTCAGCTCTCCGGGACGGAATTCATCTTTGATAAGGAACGCTACTACACCAAGCAAAGTTGTCTTATCATCTTATCCTGATGTTCTGATAACACTGGAATTATATTAAAATATTCTTTTATAATAATCAAATCAGACTTGACGTTCAACTTCTACGAGGACGGTAGTGTCAATGGTCTGGATGTTTACAAGTTGCCTTATTCTGTCTGGCCTAGTCTGCAGAAGAAGAAAAGACGTAAAACCCTATCCGTAAGGAATATAAGTAATTATGAGCCGAACAGTAGTGAGTAAAGCCTGAATTCACATTATTTTACCAAGCCTTAAGCAATATCAAAACAACTACAGTTTTATCACTTTCCTGCACTTTATTAACTGCTTTTTTTTAATTGTAGACAACTATTTGGGAAAAAGGACAAAATCCTTTGTTTGTATCTACAGTCAGTTTTACACAAGACTCCAGATTTCGCCTGAATATTAGCGATGAACAGAAACTTATCAATCAACCTTATAACTATTATACTAAAATGGGAGTTTCAGAAAATGTAATCAATAATCCTGTCAAAAAAGAAAAACTACCTCTTCAGCATAATTATTTTCAATCATATAATTTAGGAAGTAAATGGAAACACAGTCGGTGGGATTTAATAATTGACTTTCTGCGACCAACTGATTCAGACACTTATACATGTATGCTTATGGGAAGGACTTCACAAATGATACGTTATCATGTGGTTGTGAATGGTAAGTATGTAACATATTTCTTGTTGAACTACTTGGTTTTACATTTAAATCAAAACTTTATATTAAGAGTTACACAATCACCTACTTATCTTCTTAACGTGATTACCAGGAAGGGAGAATCGGTGCACTGAAGTTTCGTTACTATATTACTGTCTAATAACAGAACAGCTGTTTCACAGTAAAATACATCGGAGAAAATAAAATGCTATTGAGATAAGATTAAAAAAACAAGCATTGTTATTAACGGAGCAAAGTTAATACATTGTTGAAGAAATATGAACTACCACACTTGTTTTCACGAATCATAAAGTTGAGCTCATTCTTCACATTTGAAATAACAGAAAAGCTCACAGACATCAGAAGTTTACACTTGTGGTCACAACGTAGCTTTATTTATTGGACATAATGCTGCTGCAAAACATGCATGGTTAATAAAACACCCCATATATTGGTGCTGATTTTAAACAAAAAGAAACTTCTTTCATTTTGTTCAGTATGTTACTTACTTAGATGACTTTCATGAAGTACTTCGAGGTCATATAATTCTATCCTTACTGAAGCTTCATTATTTCACTGACTGTCTGCATTGCGCAGAAGCAAAGGCTACACAGCCATTATGTGAATTATGGATTACTGAAAGCGAATACTTAAACCTGTGAAAATATTAGAGAGGAAAACACTGAAATGAATCAAATAATTTGGGTGCAGTGCTGTCTAGTTTCATCTGGATAAAATAAAAATAATTCTTTTCTAGTGTTGCACAGTCAATGTTTCACTCAAAGAAAAAATTCACAATGGCGTCTAAAATACTGTTAGATGAACCTTATAACCCAACTACACAACATAAACTTATATTTGTATGCAAATCCGAATGCAATTACAGTACAACAGCGTATTCAGTTTCCAATCGCAAATTTTTACAGACTGATGTCCCACTTAACTTCAATAAAACAGGTGCATTTTTAAAGAAACTAAAGCGTTCGAACTATTTCCGGTAGTACATGCTGCCGAAAGAATCTCAGCGATATCTTAAATCTAAAGTATATGTCTTACTAGCCAGTACAGGTTGCTATCTCCAAGATTTATCATCATTTTGATACACAAAGTTGTCAATACTGAAATTATATGAATTCAACAAACTATTATGGATCATATTTCGATTTGTCAGAGGAAATTATTCATATAAAGAACTCATCATTATGAAGAACTGAGTGAAGGGTGAGACAATTATTTAAACGCCGTTCATCCGTTAAAGGTTGTCAGTAGCTGGTGAGATTTTATTCTGTAATATGCTTTCACAAGTTAGAAGAGCAGTATTCTTTATTCCATACAAATAAAACAACAACTTATTCGTGAATCTAATTTAGATGATCACTGAATTGGCTTCTGTATGAAAGTATACATTGAACTCTCACTATAAAGTTATTAATCGTGAGAAGAACAATTTGTCGAACTCAACTTATCATCAACACAATTCGAATGCATATACCACTTTATTCAGTCAAACGGTATTCTGAACCAGTTTTCCAGAATAAAGGTGATTTATAACTAGTAAAGAATAGTTGCATAAAATAACCTAAGTAAGATGGCTCCAAATCAAGAAAGATTAGGCTTAGTTAAAATAAAATAATGGATTCCAATATATAAGAAACAGAAATAATGTTTACTATTAATACTAATAAAACAATTTTTGGTTCAATCTTTGATAGGCATTGAAGGTGTTAATCATATTATATTCATAATTCCTAATTTGACATCAAAAACAAGATATTCAGCAAAGAGGACTTCTTTCAACGAATTCATTCTGAAGCTGTCCATTTGCGTATATATATATATATAATAATTGTGGTGGGTGTTATAATAGTGATGCTAGCTGATGATTTAAGGGTCAAATAATGATAGAAAGTGTTGAGAAAGATTTTTTAAATCGTTTATAAGGTGGATATAGACTATAAAGGGTGAAAACGTGGTAGACTTAATAAACAATCAAAAGATTTGGTGATATGAATAAGGCAAGTTAATCAGGGTAAACTGAAAATGTTTCGTTCAAAGTTGCAATTATTATTTAAGTTAAATCTTCCTCCCGGATTACATTCTTTAAATATCATATATATATATATATATATATATATATATATATATATATACGAATGTACAGCTTCGGAATGAATTCGTTGAAAGAAGTCCTCTTTGCGGAATATCTTGTTTTTTTAATTACATTAAACAAAAATTAAAAGTTAAAAGCGTCTGCAGCATGAACTTCAAGCTTTTATTGTGCTATCTATCAATGCTGAAACTATGTGGTTAATGTTACTTTTATCATTTCAGATTAAGGATAGCTCAAATTACTATGTGTTAGATTTACGTGTTGAAAATGACATTGTTGAGTCAATGTTACTCATCATAGGTGCATTTGCCCTTTAGAAAAACTTGGCTGCGTAATTCAACTTTACATACGTACAGTTAGTAAACGACAAGTGGTAAAACGTTTCTTAAGCATTGAGAAGTGAAATCAAAGTTTAAAATGTGAAAAGAATTGAATTATTAACAAATCAAATAATCAATGGTATTTAATGTGTAACAAAATATTTAAGGATACCAGCAGTACATAATAATCATTATGTCTTGCTGGAACATTACTGACTTCGAGCAAAGACAAGGTATATTATATCAGATAAAACACAGAAATATTTTCCCCGGACTAGTTCAACTATTTAAATGACAAGTTCAATCCAGCTGCATTTGAATAAAATCCTCTACAATCTTCAGAAAGAATTATTCAACACATATAGAACTACATGCTGAAGTGATTAGCAGTAAAAATTAGTGTGTGTTAGTTGTTTGGAGGCAATCGATACGAAACCCCTGACCTAGGTTTCATCCTTGTTGGCGCTGGTCAGCAAGGCGTACCTTCAAATTCGATCCAACTGATATCCCGCCTGAGATTCGAACCCGCGTCATCCAGCATTGTAGTCAGAGAACTTGCCATTGAAAGAAGGACGACTTCAGTCTCAGTAAGAACTAGCGTGGAATCATGCTGCTTTCCACGCAAAGTAGGTAAAATATTAGGCTGCATCATCCAATCGAGACTCGGAGAGGTGCTGGATTCAAAATTGCAACCGGAACAGGCTGGCTGTATTGAGGAATAAAAATCATGTGCTCATCCAATTGCAACACTACGCATCATCATGGAACAGAGTGTAGAATGACAGTCAACTCTCCACTTCAACTTCATCGATTTTGAAAGGACCTTCGACAGCGTCGATCGAGAAGCAATTTGGCAGGCCGCTGCTTCAACACTACGGTTTTAGTGCCACAAACCTTCATCAACCTCATTCAACAGCCACATATCATATAATGCTACAAGACAAGCGATTCACAATGGAGAGCTCAGTGATGCCTTTGAAGTTTGGACAGGAGTAAGTGAAGGCTGCCACCTACTATCACCAATCATCTTTCTGATTGTGGTCGACTGGATTGTGCAGCAAGGTGTGAGGAGCTGTGATAAGATGGACTTGCGCTGTTTGACTGATGAATAGACCTTGGAAGATTTGGATTTCGCCAACGATGATGATTCACGTCCAATGTTTTATCGCACAAACTGGAAGATCTACAGGTGCAAACTAACAAGTTGACAGATGATGGAGTCAGTGAAGATGGACTTTATTCAGGTGAATTTAGAGGAGACACAGATGTTGAAGATACCTAACAACAACAAGCACCATGGATGGGAGAAATCTAAAGGAATTTGTCTCTTTCACCTACCTACCTAGGCAGTATCGTCTCAACTACAGGCGGCACAGGCACAGACGAGGATGTCAAAACCAGGATCGTAGAAGCAAGACTGCCCTTCATTAATCTGAAACCGGTGTGGAGATCTACTCCACTGCACTCCACTCCACTCCACTCCATTCCACTTCACTTCACTCCACTCCATTCCATTCCACTTCACTCCACTCCACTCAGCATAAAGCGTGAACAAGATCCGGATTTTCAACACTAATCTCAGTCAAGTCAGTGCTTCAATATGAGAGATGGTTGAGAGACTTGGCACGTTACGGAAGGTATTTCCAACAAACTATAGACACATCAATGGCTATCTACACTCACTTGATACTGAAGATCAGATCAGATGGCCAGAAGGAATAAGCAACAAAGAACTCTTGGAACGAACCAACGAAGCAATAACCTATCACCCAAGAAATATGTGGAAGAAGAAAATGGAGATGGATTGTATTGGGCATACACTACACTGAGTAGATCGTTTGGGAGATCACGCTCCAGGCGAGGTTGTCGAGTAGATTTCGAAGGAGAAACGACTAGTTGGGCGTGTGATGGTGACACGGAGGAGATCGTGTGAGGAAGAAATGAATGTTTGTAGGCAGTGGTGGAGCCAGGTTGGGTAGATTGCAGAGATTAGAGTGTAATGGAAACGTGGTGCTGAAGTCTTATGTTCCACTAGAAACCCAATGGAAAAATAACAATACAAAACACTCCGTGAGATAATGGTTATTCACAGATATTTATTAAGGGCTTCAAGGATATAAGTAAATGCTATTGTGAGTGAAAAACTAATTTCTATTGTGCATAACTTTAATAGAATATTATCGTGCTAACAGTTAACCAGAAGTTGAACACGAAACTGTCAACAATTAGCCTTCTAAGTTTCTAGATAAGCCCTGCCAAATAATTATCATTTCCCATCTGAAATCTGTAATGACAACACCAAAAACTGAATGACTGTTGAGTTTTTGAAAGCATTTGTATTCCTAACATTAACAGGTAGACAATAATATCTGATGTGAAATTTGGTTGAAAGTTAAATGAAACTATGCCGAAATATAACAATAGTCATGGAAGTTGAAAGTTTAAATGGTTTTCATAAAACCTACGACAGGCTGATAATCAGTAGTGGAACACTATACATGATATGGAATAAATTCTATTCCAGCCGTACAAATGTATTTACTTACTTTTAAATTCCAAGTATTCTATTCACTGCAATGTAATTCCTATTTTATACATCTCCTTTCTTTGCGCTTTCGTCAAGATAGCAACCTTAATCTTTGTGCGTCTATATGGGTTTCTGTGTTGAAATGTTCACTCATTTATGTTTCTGTCACCTTCTAGTACCACTTTAAATGTTCTCCTTCTTCATTACACAAACATTCAAATAAATCATTTTTTGCTTCGTAAGAAATCCAACCTCTATGACTGGTTTCAACTCTTTTATAGTGCTCCTGATGAATATCATTAAGATTCTGGCGTCATTTTACACTCAGAGTTTTACAACGATTTATCATGAAAGATTACTCAGTGTCCCACTGTCAGTATCACAGATTACAGAAGTTTAGTTTTTTGTTATACATTCTCTACCTGATTTGATCATTCTCTTATGTATAACATGAAACAACTCTACATCAACCGACGTTAGTTCCCTATGTTCAAGTTTTTGATCAGCTAATCGTAAAATGAGCAAAAAATATAAATTTACTTTACTCTAATTTATGTTATTCTTTCTAAATTCAGTTACACTAAGAGAAATATATTCGTAAATAATAATATAATAGGTAGCAGACATAACAACTCGTAACATTATCTATATTAAAATATACACATATATACGAATTGAATATCGAATTGTAATGAATATGAAAAATGGAAGAACAAAATGTCTATGTGTGTAAGCCTTTCTTAGGTAGTTTTATGCATTTATAAGTCAGTATTGAAGCAGTATTCAATTAGAATGTGTATTATTCATACACACACATGTATACGTATTAAAATTCATAAAGTTCTATTGAACAGCGTACTTCATCTTTGTGAATTTGTTTTCCTTCTCCCTCAGCAGATTCAGTCCCAAGAATCAATTACAGTCGGAAAAAACTAAGTAAGTGAGATATTTTCCCCTTCGAAGCAAATGTATGAACTTCTAAATATTTCACTACATATCGACATTCATAATAAAAATTTCGATTATCTTACTTTAAGTCACTGATGCAAGTAGGAAAGAGGCCATTTTTTCTCGTTAGAAGACTCGATCTGTTAGTAAACAATTTAATCCAGTTTTGTATTCTTATTATAAATCTTTAAACTAGGGAAAAAATAACAAGGCCTTAAATCTAGGACCAATAAGAGTGTGACTATTGATCAAATCTATATAAGGGTGAGTAAACTGCTCTTTTGAACTCCCTGAGATGCAAGAATCAACCTTTACGTGCATTTTGTGATGTCCCTAAAAATTGAAAACATAATGGCTCAAATACATACAAGTTTTTAGTATAATTGCTTTTATATCATACTGTCGTTGATTGGACCGAATTGATCGGTATCCATTGGAATATGGGATTCTATGCGGATGCCTCCACATTACCTGTGCTCTAATGGTGTAGTAGATAGCGCTCTGGAGTTTGAAGAGATCACATCCGAGTCCGAATCCCGATGGGAACAATATCACTCACTGGGAAACAGGTACATCCAGCTGACGAGTCCCAAATAGGACGAAATCCGCACCCTGGTTTCCACTGCTAGCCACTATCCATCATTACTTCATACAGATTCTGTGGTCTTCAAAGACTTGACTACTTCCAGTAGACGTTAAATTTGGATCTCTTACGTTTCATAAACTTTTGCATACTATAAAATCATTCACAAGCTTCTGTGAGGGGGGACAGCTGAAATGATGTGCTTCTATGCGTGGTTCTACTTTTATTTCTCTCTCTTCTGTCAATTTGAAATCCGAACGGATTTATATGTCTTATGCTGTTACATTTACATAACAAGATGAAAAACTTACTTTCACATGCAGTTTCCATGCGAAATAAGTCAAAGTTTTACTAAGAGTACGGACATCACAAAAAATTTTTGACATAGTGAAATCTGCTTGACTGATCCTACTTCATGCCATTCTAGTAAATGGAAGTTGAGAGATAAATGTATTAGATGCCTAAATGTTTTTCAATGTCTGATATGGGTAAACAAATTTCGGGGAGCATCTAATTTTAAAGAATAGATATTAACAAATAACTTTAACTCATGATTCATGTGATTTATTGGACATATATTCACCGTATTTTTCGTGTGATATTCAATTTATCAGAAATACAGATTCTCGAATTGGATCAGTTTGACTTTGTTTTGTCTTGTAGTGTTTATTTTTTTCTACGAGAATTCCACCTAAGTTATTTTGCAACTGCTTTACCATTGCATAGTTATTGTTGTCACTGAGATCATTCCGTTAACGTTATCATACTTTTATAGAGATATAGGAAGTGGTCTCTTTAACATACAGCTATGTTATAGATATTTTATAAACTTCAGGATGAAAATTTGAACTGGTAGCGTTGAATAGGTTGAGAATTGGGCAGATGTATTATAGATGAAATATATTTGTATACCCCGACTGGGGTAGAAAAATAAATTTCTGACTTTTCATGACAACATGGAAATCGCTTCCCCAGAGAATAGGACCTGTACAAGTTATCGACTGTTCAGATAGTAAATGGGGACACCTTTCGTGAAGAATTTTTTATGAGCTTCTGTATCCCATATCATTCCCAGTGGTAAATAACTCTATAGTCACTAAAACCAAACCTATGAAGGAAGTTTGTATGATGCGCCACCATATGTGGCAGCCTGCTTGAAATGTGGACTGACAAAATATCACATCAAATTGCTCCCTTTTTACCTGTTTTAACCATTCAAGTGTAAACAAATCGTACAACATATTTTTACGCCCTCTTAAGACGTTTTCAATCTATTGTTAGTTGGGTCAAAAACAAGACCACGAAAAAATGTCACAGTAGACAGCAGCTGGTTCCTGAACCCACAATAGTGCATCATATAGCTATTACAGGAACACGAATGTAGCTAGAACAGCAAATTTTCAAACCAGACAAATGAACCTCCACCACCAAACTTACGTATTCATTTCTACCCACTCCACATGCAACAGCATACAAACTAGATAATGACTTTAAACTTAATGGTTGTTCAACATTACTGCTTATCATACTGCTATTATTAACACTATTTAAGTGCCGTGGTTATTTAATTTGATAATATTGTACAAGAAGTAAATTTGTTGAAATATCAGACTGAGTATTCCGAAATGTAACAGAAATATAGAATAAAGTGACTGTTGTTATCATTAAAATTCCCCACCTCTACGTGATGCATATCAGTGTAATTCAATCAGTATAAACAAAACAAATTTTACCTAAAATTATTAAAAGTAGAAGTTTTGTTGTATCAATATCAAATGTCCAAAGAAGTACATATCACTTGGTAGGCTAATGTGACAATGGAACTCAGATAAGCTACCTGATATAACTCGGAAGAATGTTAGTAAAACCACTGAAGAACAAACTTGTGGGAATAGATGACTGGAAATCCTAACCTTCCTCTCTTAGTATAGATGAATATTTGCCCAAAAGTTAGTCATCAGGAAAGCTACATAACTATAAATGATTTGTAAAACCGCAACTTGTAAATCAGAATTATCTGAACTTCATTGAAACAAATGATGCTTTTGAACTTCCTTACGTCTGCCATATGTATGACAGAAGTATTAATATAAGTCTTAAATGTAAGAATTCAAAATTTTGATTTTTTTCCCTTGAAGATGCTGGAATCAAATTTCTGTGCGAAATATTGGGATTACTTCATTTCAAACAGGATGAGACTTTTACAAATACAAACTATATCTCATGTTAACCTTTTACCTATCGCCTAATGTATGGCATGATGTTAGGTCAAATCTTCATCATAAGTCATATAAATTACTTTGCAAGGAGAATAAATTCTTTTCATGTATATGAAGAAGGTTTAAATTTACGGATAGCAAGCACTTCAGTATATTAAGGCACTTAGCGTTGACCACTTTTATGTGGTAATTTAAAAGTTGTTCTCATTTCCACCCTGTGACTAGTTTCAAGTATGTGTTTTGTAATAGATGAAGAAAGACTTTTGCCGGATGCACTTATCAGCTCCGTTGAGATCATCTGTCTTCGAAGCCCCTTAGGTACATGTTCATCCATCCTTAACTGCAAATTATAATTACTCCTCCCTATAAATGTGTTTCCAAACATACATGTAAAATTATAAACACAGTGAGATATGATGTAATCGTTTATGTGTTGTTTTGCTTTGTGTTGTAATATGGATTTTGTCTTCTCTAAAGTGATGAATTTGGATGCACAATATTCCCTATAAATGGCTGATCTAAGCTGTGTAAATCACCTCTAAATGGTAATGACATGTAGGCATTTTTCTTACAAATGAAACACTGCATAATTTTCAACGAAATAGAATTTTGTCACTGTTGGTAAATTTCAACCAGTACCCATTCTGTACCATTGTTGTTATCAGTCACATAGTTTCATTCTCTTTCGTGTCATCAGTGCACATGAGGTTTATCCTGCTGAATAAGCACCTCCCTAAACGTCGTTTAAAGTCGACTGGCAATAACTATGAAAATTAAGATATTTCTTTGTCTATGTAGGCTTCCTATAGATCGACCTTCTGATCAAGCCATTGATAATGTTGTATCCAGAAGTCGACATAGGAATGAAAAAATCATGTTTAAGAAACTGAAAGATGCAGCTTCACGGTGAACATCTTTGTTTGATACATTCTCTACTGCAGTTTAACTACAGAACTTACAATTGTCTCCTCTTTAAAAACTTTTCGCTGAATGGTAAATAAGCAAGCAGGTTGAAACTGAAATACCAAAGTATCTATAAGTTATAGTTGTTGACATGACGGGAAGGAAATTTTTCTGTTTAACAATTGTATAAAGTTACTCACTAACTGAAGTGTTGAAACGACATGAGTTTGATCCTGCAAAACTTTGTGAATATACTACTGAGAAGCTACGAACCCCAACAGTATGTTATTGTGCATTCTTGTATTTTCAGTGGTTGTCGAATTGCTGTCATAATCAGTTGACTATCTGAGGTAGCCGTAAATTGACAAGCTGGTATTTAAACTGAGTTGTGATTCAAGGTGGAACGAAAATTTGGACCGCGGACAAATTCCAACCCGCGACCACAGGAATTCCGGCCCAATGCTCTACCAACTGAGCTTCGAGGTTCTCGCACTTCAGTTTGTAGACCATCGGAACCAAACCAAGCGGTCGCTAGCTCGAATTTGGCTGCGGTTTACATTTCCATTAAACCTTTTTTTATTTCTCCCTTGGCTTCCTAGTGGAACACGGGACTTCAGTGGAACATCTCCATTTCACTCTCCTTTCCACAGTCTTCAAAACCTAGCTCCACAACGCCTCACCAGCTTTCATTCCTACCTCACACGATCTCCTCCATGTCACCCTCAGCTGTGAAACTCAATTCGTCGTCTTCCCCATGGATTACACTCGACAACCTGGCCTGGCGCGTGATGTCCCCAAACGATCTGCTCAGTGTAGTGTATGCCCAATCCAATCCATCACAATTTTCTTCTTCCGCATATTTGTTGGGTGATAGATTATTGCTTCGTTGCTTCGTCTTCCTTTTACGATCCTCGTCTGTGCCTGTACCGCCTGTAGTTGAGACGATACTGCCTAGGTAGGTAGGTGAAAGAGACAAATTCCTTTAGATTTCTCCCATCCATGGTGCTTGTTGTTGTTAGGTATCTTCAACATCTGTGTCTCCTCTAAATTCACCTGAATAAAGTCCATCTTCACTGACTCCATCATCTGTCAACTTGTTAGTTTGCACCTGTAGATCTTCCAGTTTGTGCGATAAAACATTGGACGTGAATCATCATCGTTGGCGAAATCCAAATCTTCCAAGGTCTATTCATCAGTCAAACAGCGCAAGTCCATCTTATCACAGCTCCTCACACCTTGCTGCACAATCCAGTCGACCACAATCAGAAAGATGATTGGTGATA